CACCAAAATGTCTCATATTGCGATTATAACTCCCAAAGAGGCCGCCCCAGATACCATAAAAGGTAACTGCCCTTTGTCACACGCTGACATCGCCAGGCGCAGGGGGTGTATCACTGCAACCATAGCAGTGTCTGCCGCCCTTAGCAGTGCCTGCCACCCTTAGCAAAATCCAAGAAGAGTTGACCCTCTCCTCACCGACCCAGACAAGATCGACATGACCTTCATCTATAAATATCCCTATGATACAGAGGGAAGACATCTTATGTATCGTTATTCTGCCCATTTACATTGAGTTACACTTACACACACCTTAATTACTCCATTGTTATCTGCATATACATTTGGAACAGTGCCTTGGAGCTTGGTCTCTACCAACGCTTGGAGTATTATCCATATAATGACTCAATCTCCACCGGGAACATAGTGGGTTTATAGTCCTCAAACGGTACACTATGTACATTCTTTACCAACAGGAAAAAAAATAACATATTTATATTATCCTTTTTTTTATAATTATCTCCTTCCGTATTTCCCCCCCTTTTTAGTAAGAGAGTACCTGCGCTCATTATGCAACAGGATTCATCAATTCTTATCAGAAAATGTTGAACTGGATTCCATTAATAAAAAAGAGAGAAAAAGGAGTGTCATTTTAAATGACACAGTACGTTACATCTTTTTATTCTTATAAAAAGATGAGATTCACATCTTTAAAATTATTTTTCCTACTCTTTCTTCTATGATTTATTTTTTCCTCTCATTTAAAATGACATAATTTTGTATTCTTTAAAATTTGATACACACTTATCCCTAAAAAAATGAATGAATACAAGCTACGTACAACGGTACAAGTATATATAAGCTAGCTCTATTAGCCTTAATAGATAAATAACTAAACCCTAACGTATTAACCGTATAACAGAATACAAAATAGAAATCTAACCGAGTAACAACTTTATATTTTGTCACGTGGGTTCATTTATTGATACAAGATCATTTTGCAATGTTGATATGTCGACTTGGGACACTATAGCTTGGGCAGTAGGTAACTGATATACTCGCGGACCTATATGGTGGCTCTTTCACCACTTTGGAGCTTTTTCTATTTAAATATACAAATTTGGTATTCAGTTATGAGATATTATCATTTGGGGTCTTTGAGTGCAGCATGGGGGACATAGCGACTCTAAGTGACGCACCCATCACCCCGCGGCACTAATGTGAATTTGAAATTTTTTCCGAAACCAGTGCCGCATACTGTCCCGTAAGGCACCGATTATATTTTTTATTTCCCGGTGTCGCCCCCTACCTCCCGCGGGTCTAATCCACCCCCCCAAACAATAATGCCGCCCTACCCCTCATACGACACTAACCTATTTTTTAAAAACCCCAATTTTTTTTAAATCCAATTAGTGAATGTTGTACGTTTTGATTCTCTCTGCATTGAGTCATTTTAATAAAAAAAAATATAGTGGAAAGAATGCAAGATAAGTGAGTGAAAGCATCGGGAAGAAGATTAAGATGAAGGTAGAAGTCCTAACTTATGACAGGTTCCTAAACTATAATTGTTTGAAAGTTTCTATTCTCAAACCCACCAAACCAAATGAGATCTCTTCACCAGACTTCACCCAAGGCTTGCCCAAATGGAAAAACCCTAAAGCAAATTGGACACTCATGCGCTTTGCTCTTCTTGGACTTTTTAACTATCTCTTCCTCGTTAGCTTGCTTTCAGTTGTTGTTGGCGTTGCTTCAGGAGAGAGGTCAATTTCAATGCTGTTTTCACTGCTTTTATTTTTTTGAAGCAAAATAGCCATAAATCTTCTTGTGACTAGCTCTATGACCTCCAAGAGCTTGGTAGCCATAAATCTTCCCTTTTATTCATCTTAAATGTGTTTTCAGAAAAACTCCTAGAGATAGAAAATGAGCAGAAAACACTGACATAGAAAGAGAAACAAACAAGACCAAAAACACAAAGGAAGCCAAGGAATCGGATAAATGACATGGATGTCACGTTCCCTAATCCCTTAACTCATTTTATTGAGCAACACAAGCACACAACATGTAAAATCTGAACCTTACCCCCTTGTAGTTGGGATTTGCAGAAACAAAATTGCCAAACTCCCACTTCTAACGCCGTGTGGTTTTGTGACTGAGTGGTTTTGTTTAAAAAAATAATAATTGGTGTTGTGGGGGGTAGGGCGGCACTGTTGTCGTGTAAAAAAATATAACTGGTGCTGTGGGAGGTAGGGGGCGGCACTGGTTTCGGACAAAAAAAAAAAATTTCTAATTCACGTGAGTGCCGCAGGGTGATGGGCGCGTCATTTAGAGTCGCTGGATCTCCCATGCGGCACTCAAAGACCCCAAATGATAATATCTTCCAAATGAATACCAAATTAGTATATTTAAACGGGGAAATCTCCAAAGTGGTAAAAGAGCCCCTATATGGTTGTCCGCAATGATGCACAGACAAATACACAGAACACGGGACACGATACAACACGACACGTCGACACGTTAATTTTAAAAAATATCATATTTCGACACGTTGGAACACGTTTTGATTTAAATAAATTTTTAATATATATAATATAATTTATATTTAATACATATAAGAGCCATAATAAGTCATATAACCAATCAAATATTTAAATTTCATAACATAAATATAAATATAAATAATTTCTCGTACTTTGTTAAATTTTCATAACAGAAAAAAATTAATTTATAAATTATTTATTTTATATTTAGTTAACAAAATAAAATTAAGATTTAAAAAAAAAAGTGTCCTAGCATTGACTGCGTGTCCGAAAAAGTTGACCGTGTGTTGGAAAAACGTGTTGGAGAGTTGACCGCGTGTCCCCAAATATTGACCGCGTGTTGGACGCGTGTCCGAGCATGTCGAAGTGTGTCCGTGTCGGACATGTGTTCGACACACAATTTTTTTTTCAAACACCGTGTCCGTGCTTTGAAGGTTGTCCGTAATACACAAAAAAAATATTTTGGAATAGCAAAATTTGATATAAGTTAATAGTTGGTGAGCCATCTCTATTAATGCGGAATTTTTGAAATAATATTTAAATTTTTTTAATAACTTGAAGAGTAAAATACTTTTTGGATTATCAACAAAAATTATGAAGTCCATTTTAATCCCTTACAAAAAAAATTGATTTGTGGTTCTATGAAACCCAAAATAGACATAGTTAGTTAAAATTATGGTCCCTTTGAAATTCAGAGAAAGCCCACGTTAATCCTTTAAAGGTACTAACATAGGTCTATTTTGAATTTTAGAGAGACCGTGAGTAAACTTTTTTTCCCTAAGGGATGAAATTTGGTCCTGTGATATTTATTGAGGACCCAAGAAATACTTTACTCTGACTTGAAATAGTATTTACAAAAAATAAGATATACGTGAAATAATTAACTTAAAATAGCAAAGTTTGATATATATGAATAGTTTATTTTTTATTTTTTTAATACCTTTAAATTTTTTTTGAAGGCACTGCTCCAACCCTAGCCATTAAATATATATATAAATAAAATTTTCTAGCCATTCGAATATCAATAGCAACCCATATCATATAATGCATGTCGGTGCTGGATACGAGTGTGTTATCTTATCTTTCTAATATAAAAATTATATAAAACAAAATTTTATTTTATTTAAGATTCCCAATGTCATCAAGGGAAGAGAAGAATAATGTATGTAATCACTGTAAATCAAATAGAAAAATAAGAGGAACTTTTATATGCTATCGAGGCAAGAAAAATATCTTATACTATTATAAAGATTCCTTTTAGTTTGTATTAACTGAATTACATAAATTATTATTATCTTTCTCTTTAATTTTTTTAATACTATTTTTACAGAAGAAATTTCTTGGTTATACACAATTATATATGGAGTTTTAATAAAAAAATTAAATTTGCTTTATTTATTAAAAATTAATGAAACAAATAATAAAAAATATACTATATTTACATATTAAAATAATAAAAATATTGAATTGAAAGTAATTGAAATAAGCGACAGTTTACTTATACGAACTAGGCGACAAATATTATAAAATTTTTAATTCTACATATTGATAATCGACCAATTAATAAAATAAAATAAATTCAATCACTTATATTATATTATTCTATTCATACATAGCTTAAATTACTTATTTTTATAATTTCTCCATTAATTTATTAATTAATTGACATAAATTTGTAATATAATTATGGAATTTCAATTTCTCATGTTATAGTTGGAGAAAGAAATTCCTCCATAGACATGAAATGATGCCCACATACTTAAATTTTATTTTTTATTTTTTAAACACCCAAATCAAACTCTCTTATGACATTAGGAGACACTTCTCTTATAAAAGGAGAAGCATATTTCCCTATAATTATTTAGGGTTCACTTTTTTATAGTTAATATAGATAATTTATCTATATTGAGCCTAAAATAATATTGTTTTGGGACATAAATTATGTTAATTTTATAATTATAATTCATTTTAGGTTATATTAGTCTTTTTTATTATAATTTTTTAATATTTCAACAAAAAATGACGTCGTTTTGGAAATGAATGTCAATAACTTATCTATATTCACCGTAAAAATATTAAAGCCAATTATTTATCTAAAACTCGAATTCAAAACAATAATTAAGTTGAAACATTCTCAGGACAATTGATTTACATAATTTTTGGATGAGAGTTATTAATTTTTATGTCACATAAGATAAGTATAAAAAAGAGAAAAAATATGTACAAAATTCTATGAATGTGCAACATAAGATAGATAGCTATATCTTATGTGACACAAGATAACTATTTCTTTTTTGGATCAGTTATTCTATTTATGACAATTGGACGGTGAACACAGCCTTTAAAGCGTGAAAGGTGCATTTGCCAGTTGCCACTAGCTATTATTATTTTCTTCTTTTTAAATTGCGTGAAGAGTTTGCGTACTTCCCTATTGGTTCACTTCTCCACTTTCAGTGGTTAAAGTAATAGCTTGACTACATGTTTCAAGTCTCTCAATCTCCTCAGTGAATAGCAACACTATAGTCTATAGCAGAGAATAATGGCAGAAGAATGTGAGCCAAAATGGGAAGGCAAAGCAATTGTTGAGGTAGCAGGCACAAGTGCAGAACTAGTTTGGCCTCTATTAGAGGATTTTTGCAACCTACATAAGTTGATCCCCTTAGACACTTGTTATCAAGTTGAGGGTATTCAAGGACAACCTGGTCTCATCCGCTACTGTGCTTCCTCCACTAAAGGGGTTACAAGTCCAACCATTATGTGGGTCAAAGAGAAGCTACTCACAATCGATCCCATCCAACGATGTTTGTCCTATGAAGTTGTTGATAACAACATGGGATTTAAGTCTTATGTGTCCACACAGAAAGTACTGCCAATTAATGGGGATGATGCTAATCTGGGACTGGGGTGCAAGATTGAATGGGGGTTTGTCAGTGATCCAGTTGAAGGGTGGAGATTCCAAGATTTGAACTCTTACATTGAGTCCTCTCTCCAGTTTATGGCCAAGAAGATTGAGCTTTCCATGATCTCTACTTAGTGGACAAATAATGAAGTTAATATCTGGAATCTTGATACGAGAATAAATCTGGTGGTATTTGGTATCTATTTGTGTAATTTCATTGTATTGTAGTGCTATTAAAGTTATTATAAAATTTGTAACATTAATTGGTTTGCAAACTTATATGATGATTTTTTTCACTTAGCAATACAATGAAAACAGAGCACCCTTATCGAAGGAAAGACCAATTTTTATTCTTTTCCAAGAGCCGGTTGGTATGCCGCAGAAAACTCGAGGTGAAGATTGTGATACCAAAAAAAAGAGTTACTTTTTTTTCTTTTAAAAAATTAAAGTCATTTATAATCTCATATAAATTGTTCAAATTCCTCACAGGTCAACCCTAACCCACTTCAAATGGTTTTAAGACGGAAAGTCATTTATTATCAAAATGTTATTTAGTAAGTCAAAATATTACTTAGGATATTGACTCAAGTTTACAGATTCTATAATTGGTTGATTGTTAGTAACGTGGATCATTTTATAAAACTAACATTTCACCAATTTTTAATATTATTATTTGTCTTCTTCTCTTCTTTCAATCTCAAACGCACACATACACAGCCTCCTCCTCCTCCGCAGTCTCATTCTCCCCCACACTTGAACCATTCTTTCACCTAATATATCATTTTTCCCTAACTTATTTGTTAATAATATTCTCCCTCCTCCTAATTTTTTTCATGTGTTTCTTTGTCTATAACCTAATTTAACAGCAAATTCAGGCTTTTTTTCGGTGTTTTTGATTCTCAAGCTGATGTTGAGATATAATTTTTGCGAAGGGGCTATGAAGTTTAAAAATAAAATAAAAAACTGGTTTCAGTCATTATGGAACTTTTGCTTCTTCTTTTTTTGTGTGGAATTAAGGCGCATAAAAATGTACATGTTTGATATCCTTAATCTTTTCATATTCACATAGTTAATATCGGTTTAACTTGCTGGCATTTGAATTGGAATATTGTGAAAGTCTATCTGTATCACTTTATCCGTGTTGAATTGTGCCAAAGTCTACAATATTATATTTGTACATTCTTGAGCTCCTAGTGAGCCCTTCTCTTGATAAATGTTAGTTGGTTAGTGGTTTTGTTCAAAGGTTTTGATGGTTGAATTGAATGTTATCATTTTTGAACAAAAGAAGAAAAATGAATAAGAAGAAAGGGTTAATTTTGTCACATTTTTCGTGTTAAATTTTGTCAAATAATGGAATCCTTGTGATATTCTCGGATAACAACATTTTGCTTCACAGAATTTTTTTTGAGAATCTTATTTTTTCGAATTTTTTTTCAAAATTCTTATACCAAACATGATCAAATAAGATTATAATATTTGTTTTTTGGGAATTTAAAATTTTTCTTTATACCAAACATCTCCTAAAGGAAATTGATTATATTGCTTGAATTAATTTATTATGATTTTAAAATCAAAAAATAACTAATTTTTTTTAAATAATTAATCAAAATCAATTTAACTTCTTAGTCAAAATTATTTGACTCATATATGTCACATCATTGGGAAGTTTTAATAATAAAGAATTTCATCTGAAACAGTACCAAACCAATTATTCAAATTCAAAAGGTTTTGGAGTTTTCTTATTGTCCGGCTATTCAAGTTGGAGAAAGGTTAAAAGTTAAAACTTGGAAAACAAACATCAAAATATTTATATCCAACCGTAAACTTGGTTGATGAAATGAAATCAGAGTAATAATTAAGGTTTTCAAATTGCTCGCAGCGATGTTGGCAATAACAATTTCACAGTTAAATTACCGAAAAAATGACATGAGTAATATCCTATTATTTGAAAAAGATAATATTTAATATATTAAATTTTTTAATATTCGGTAAACGGGTAAGCATTTAACATATTTTAATAAGGGTCATTTACCTTTTTGCCCCTGATTGAAATCAAAATTACAACTTTATCCCCTAGTAAAATATTTTGTCGGACAGTTTGACCGTTGATCAAATGTACTTGAGTATTTTACTCGCTCAACGGTTAAACAGGACAGATTACTTATAATTTTAATAAAAAAAAAATAAGATTTTTAAATTGTTTAAAGATGAGACAAAGTGATAATATTTAGAGTAAATATTATTTTTGGTCCTCAGCAAATTATACGATATCCGTTTTAGTCTTAGCAAATAAAAAGGCTATTCGTATTTTTTAAGAAATTTAAAATGGATTCATTTAGGTGAGATCGTGGTCCCTCATAAATTCAAAAAAGACCTACATTAGTTCCTTAAAAGGACTAAAATGAGTCCACTTTGAATTTTTTTAAAGACCACGAATATAGCACCTTTTTATTTGATAAAAACTAAAGCGAGTATCGTGAAATTTACTGAGTACCAGAAAAGAATATTTACTTCAAATATTTATGTTAATAAGTGTACACGCTTCCATCACCTTAATATTTCTCCCTTTTGAGAGAGAGAGACTTTCCAAATCAAGTTTTCCTTTCACACACATACCTATGAATATGACAGAGGAATCCAAGTCAAGATGGGAAGGTGAAACCTCTGTTGAACTACATGGAATCACTGCAGAACAAGTGTGGCCTCTATTAGAGGACTTCTGCAACATACATAAGTGGATGCCAATAGAAACTTGTTACCAAGTAGAGGGAGTTACAGGACAACCTGGCCTTATCCGCTACTGCGCTACCACCACAAGAGACGATGGGGATCCATTGATCAAGTGGGCCAAAGAGAAGCTACTCATGATAGATCCCATCCAACACTGTTTGATCTATGAGGTTGTGGACAGCAACATGGGATTCAAGTCATATGTGGCAACACTCAAATTATTGCCTGTCACTATCGTCAGTGGTGACAAACCTAAACCTACGAGTTGTAAGATCCAATGGTCTTTTGCTTGTGATCCAGTAGATGGGTGGACTTTTGATGGCTTGTTCTCTTATATTCAGTTTGTTCTCCAGTTCATGGCCAAGAAGATGGAGCTAGCATGTTCTCATCAAGATAAATCTCTGTAAGTTAATTTCATATGAATCTCAAGTTAAAATCATGTGTGTTTTATTTTGTGTGTTTTAAGATGCGTCTGGTACAGGAGAAATTTTTATTTATCCGAGAATTTTAATTTTTAAAAATATGATTTTTATATTCAATTTACGATAATATCTGAAAATTTAAAATTTTAAAAATTTCAGTTTCTCGGAAATTCGAAAAAAATCCGTGTACCAAACGGTCCCTTAGAGTTAAGCAACAAGTTATAATAATGAGCTTAACAGGATATTTTGATTTAAAATTGTAATTATTCAATGAGCTGTTGGTGTTTTTATTTTATTTATGTCGTCTATGTAAGGCAAATGAGTCATGTGCCCACACAAAATTGTTGCCCTTTCTCGTTAAACTTATTTAAAAGCCCGTTTGTATCTAAAAATTACCTTGAACGGAGACGTAGTGTTGTTGTGTTTGAAATCATTTATGACAATATCAAGTTTTGTCTATTTATTAAAAAAATAAAATCGAAAATCAAGTTTAGTCTCAAGCGTTTGGCCCGTTAAATGTTGTAGTAGTATTTTATTACTATTATGATTTATGGTGAGAATTTTTTTTTTTTTTTTTTGTGCATTGACAAAAATATGCCTAGATTTTAATATTTAAATAAGTAGAACTCAATAATTTAAAGTTTAATTTTGATACTCCATTAGTATAGAAATATCTTTACACTATCATATAATGGATTTGACTATTTAACAATCATATAAGATGTTTAGTCCATCAATTAATTTGACAACATATTACTGAATGATAGTGTAAAAATTTGTATATATCGACAATCGTTCCAAATTAATTTGCAAAGTATCCAAACAAACTTATATGTTATCGTTAGTTATTTGAGCATTAATTCATCTACAATCATATTTTTAACATTAATTTATTTTCAATTTAACTAAAGAGACAAATTTGCTTCCTTTGTAGAAATTATACATCTAAAAGTAGTTTTTATTAACATTATCTAAATAACATTCATGTTGTCAAAATCGTTTTCAAACATAAATTAGTTCACTAAAATATAATTTAACTAAAATTAATTTTACAAAATCAAGTGTACGTAAAATTAATTTGGAACGTTTAGAAAGAAAGGGATGGGAGAATTAATATTTTTATTGAAAGTAAATATTTTATTTATGAATTTTTAAAATAAAAGATATAAAATAAGAGATTATTGTGCAATATTTCCATATTTTTTATTCATTTTTACAAATATTTTGCAATTCTTTCAGTATACAAATAAATAATTAACGCTATTTTTTCTTTTTTATTTCAAATTCCTCTGTTAAAGCAAGAAAACAAAATAGAACTAAAATTCCACACCAAAAAAAAAAAATAGAACTAAAATTGGCATCTTGCATGCACTTCAAATACTAATTAACCTAGATTCTATTTATATATAATATAATATAAAGCTATTCCACTATTATTGCAATGAGGTAATTTTTAAAATTTAACATTTATATTATATTTATTTTATTTTATTTTTACTTTTACTTTTATTTACATCTTCCTTTATTTTTCTTCTTTTATCGTCCCTTAATTATTTTAAAAAGCAATCCAAATGTATTCATTTTCTATAATTTTAAAAAGAATATACTTTATCATAAAAATATATATTAATAAATTTCCATAAAAATATATAGTATGTCATTACACATTTATAAAAAAAATTTGAATCTTAACTTTGTAAATTTTACTGATAAGAATTTTAAAGCTGTGAAAACTACAATGGAATAATTGTATACTTTTTGGTTGCCTTTGTCGCTTTTGAGCGGGCTTCTTATCTAAGACTCACTTCAGTGGTGAATCCTCCTTTAAATAAAAAATATATATAATTTATTCAAAGTATGAATATTTCATTGATGATATATTTATATTTTATTTATAACATTAATATTAATTTGAAATGCATCAAAACATTTTATAAAAAAATATGTTCAAAACTTTTAACTAAATATTATTTTTGAAATATTTTAGTCATAAAATTTTCTGAAAAAAAAAAAAAAAAAACTAATTTAAATATGCACAAAATATTTTATCCATTAAATAAGAAACTCATAATCATATGTATATTTGATTTAAACAAACATATACAATGCACGCTAAGATATAATTAGTACACATTAAAACATAAACCTTTCTTAATGCACAAAAAATCTTAACTTTTTTAAACCCATAATAATTGAATTTTATTAATTAATATGTGGATATATATTATGATTATCAAACAGTGAAGATTTACAGTATAAAATAAGACAAATATCATATGACTATAAGTCGTCTATAACTGGAAGAATATCATATGAGTTTGCGTGATGCCGCATGATTTGTAACTTAAATAAGAAAATATGTTTTTGTGCTTTGACAAATTACTCATCAAATTTAATTATAATAACAAGACAAACAGCATAAAAAAAAGCGCAACTATGAAAGATATTACACAGATCACAAATTGAAAGAATGCGGGAACTAGAGAGATGAAAACACTACTCAAACTTAAGTCTATTAATGTACAAGGTTCACCACGGAACAACGATCCCCACACATACTCATATATATACATACATATATATCTAACACCTAAAACAAAAGATGAATGATTCCGCCATCCCTTTCCCGGGATAACTTCGATTTTCTACACTTAGCAAACCATGGCATCCCGTTCTTTCTTTCCTTTTCTCTTATGTCTTGCCTTTCCTATTAACCCCCAATTATTGGCATTTTTAAATAGTAAATAATCTCTTTTCCATCCAGTTGATAATGTCCTGAGCTATCTCTTCACGCTCAGGCTCAAACAGAAGGTCGTGCAAGAAGCCATCATAAAGCTTTATGTCTTTGAACTCTGAAGCTGCATTATTGTATAGATCTTGGGAGGCCAGTGGATCAGTTACCTTATCAGCTGTTCCGTGCAGGACAAAGAATGGCACTGTCACAGACTTGAAGTTTCGCATTAAGTAGGAGGATATCCGCAATATTTCATGGCCAGTTCGGACCCTTATAGGTCCTGTGTAGACCAAAGGATCAGAGTACTTCGCCAACAAAGCTGCTGGATCCCTCGAAACTGGAATGCCCTTTTTGTTTGCTCCTTTAAATTGGAACTTCGGAGCTACCAGAGAAAAAAGTGGAGCAACAGCCTGCATCAACACAGACAGATCCTTTTCACACATGAATAGACAAAAAGCATGAAACACATTCAGAGAATGGTCCATAATAAGGAATGTTCCCCCTTTAAAGAAAACCAAGATCAATGCTTCAATGCGAAAGAGAGAGGTATGAGCCCGAATATGAGAAGGGATGATTGCACACACCATGAATTAAAGGTTAAAAGGGGCACAAAACCATAGGCCAAGGAAATAAGAACCAGGATTAGCATCATTTCTGCTGACAGTGCTCTGAAATTAGAAAACTAGATGCAGAGGAAGTGGTGCAAAACTAATACTGGCAAATAATTCACCACTCATTTTCATGCCCTTACTACAATAAGAAGGTAAATTGAAAGTTTGATTGTCTTTCGAACTATTCCAGCATGTAATTACAAAGTAAAATAACACCTATGATTGTGTTCATTCTGCTTCCAATTGACAAATATCAAATGAGTCAAGGGTTATATGTAGCTAGATATCACACTGACTATAGCGTGATTGGCACAGTCAGATTGATATTAAAATTTGAAAAGGGGATAGGGATTAACTTTCAAGATAATTTCGTATATTATGGCATTTTTTTATAAGTATACTCAGCATAACTAGTACTATAGCAACAAATCAGAAACACGTTATTCTCAAACATTCATGCACAATCTATAAATACAAAACTTACACCAACAATTGGATGGGCCGGCTTCACACGCAAAGCTGGTGAGGTTAGTATAATTCCTTCCACCATTACTTCAATATGAGGGTGGGAAGCCGCCTACACAAAAATGTAAAAATTAAATTTCAAAATTCAACAAAGACAAATTTAATTGTGGAAGGTATGCAGAAGACTTCAGCACTTACTTTCAAAACCACAGCCCCTCCAGTGGAATGACCAAAGAGAAAGCATGGAATCCCAGGATTCTCTGATTTAATCTTTTCCAGGAAAGCCCCCTGTTTATATCATCACCATCAGTATGCAAAGTAAATAGTCAAAATCACCAAGTCATAGTTGAAAATGCAATATACATCTCCAAAGGAAAACAAGCAAAGAACAAAAATAGTTGATAAAATGGCAATAAAAGTGACCATAAATAACAATTAAACAGAAATTAAATAATGAATACAACATTTACCAACCGTCAAAATAATAGTAAACAGAAGCATGAAAAAGCTGGCAACTTTACAGGGATAACATCTCTGCCTTAAGCTCTAAGAAGAAAAGGTTAACATGTATTTCAACTATACACACTAAACTTATTTCTCCACTTCCCGTCTTGTTTAAAATAGTAGAAACACTACTGATGCCTAAATTTTTTTCCATTCCAAGTATATGTACCACTATCACAAACAAGAACATGTGCCGCAAGTATATATTTATCCAAACTGAAGAAAGTAGAAGTATACTTACTGTGTCTGCAACCACATGATCAAGAGAAGGAACATAACCATGCAATCCATCACTCCCTCCATGCCCTGTAAAATAAAACAATTAACTCCAGACCTGTTACAAAAATATAAGAACAGTAACCCCCCTTGTTACATACAGGATGAAAATGATATAACCATGCCTATTACCGTATAATCCAATAACAGGAATTTAACTCCTATTAAGTTTATAAAATAAATATCCTGTATCAATGAGGATCTCAAGGGACCAAATTTAAAAAGGAGTCTTAAATTACCTATCCAGTCCATTGCATAGACACCAAAGTTGCATGATGTTAATTGCCTAGCAAAGTCCGCATATCTTCCACTGAAAAAAGAGCACTAAGTCAGAGGTGGGGGGCGCAAAACCATAAATCTTATCATCTTATATACACAATCAGTAAGAAAGATTTAAATATATTGACATTTTTTGAAAAATAAAAAGCAAACTAAATTAGTCAAAAGTACACAACGCAAGATTACCTGTGTTCATTGAGCCCATGAACGATGATAAGAATGCCTCTGAAAGAACAAAGAGAAAATAACTCGAGTCAAATGTGAAAGAAAGCAGCACACAGTGAACAGAAAGCTATACATACAAATAACAAAAGAGGCAGGGGGAAAAGGCAAAAACTAAAGGACAGGCATGAAGGAGAAGCTTTTCTATCCATTCCTCAGACAATATCTCATTAAAAAAAAGAAAAAGAAACAGAGAGAGACCTAAGGAATAAGACATAAAACAACTAAATCCTGTTATAAGACAACAATCATCAACAGTAAACCCCAAGACGCCAGCTACCAATGTACAAAGCAAATCTCATTCAGCACGGAGAACAACATAATTCGAAAAAATATCTTTCTTTTGAGTCTCACAATTTCAACCCCTTACGTTTTCTTCCATCTCTCTTTGTTCAATTACTTTATCCCCTATAGAGGGGACTCAATTCTAGATATTCCTAATTCAGCTGAGTTAATTTTCCAACTATTGTCAATGAAAGGACCTAAAATAAAAAAGGAGAGCCAATAACTTCAATCAAGCTGCAGTTGACAAAAACTACTGCTACTCAACAGAATTTGTAAGGCTCTTCAGAATTCCATATTATTGAGCTTATTATATATCTCTACACTAAAACCAGGACATACATACCAACACGAACCTTAGAAAAACGGAGAAGAAGACTTCAAATTGCAAAACGTAAAGCAAAAGAAAATTGATAATTATTTTATTTTATTTTTAGCTTACTTTAGATGACAGGAGACCGGGAACCACGACCGGCAAAACAGAGCGTTATTTCTAACTCCATAGAAGATAGAAGTGGTCCACCGGCAGAAACCGTCGTCGTGGCCCATTCCCACGTCTTCTGCCAACGCTCTTCTTCTGAAGGTGTCCTCTTCCTCCCGGACCAGCCACCGGCGTTTCAAATGCTTCCGAGGCGAAGAGGGCCCCGCCGCCAGCGATGCCGGAGAGGATAGACGGCGGCGCCGGGGAAGAACGAACAAGATGAAGGAGAGGAAGAAGGTGTAAACGAAGATCAGCGAGGCCCTGAGGGTTTTCAGAATCGGAATTATGCGGTTGCTGGCACCTGACGTCAGTGGCTCCATCTCCGTCTCGGCAGAAGACATCGCTCTCTGCGGCGGAGGAAGGAGATGGAAACCGAAACGGTAACGGAAACGGAAATCAATTCGAACAGACAAGCTATTACACGCACCACACAACGCAAGAAATAAAACGCATTCTAGTTTGACACAGTTGGGCATTTATTTATACTTGTTGTTTTATTATTCTTTTCTGGGTTCAGAAGATCAACGGCTGAGATTTCTTGATGATGACGCTGTGTGCTCTAGACTAGTTATCCATTCGATTGAGATATTGGGTAAAGGAATTATTGATTTAATCGGATTCAATCAAATCTACTATTTACGTATTAAAAAAAATATAAATATATTACTTATAATAATACGAAGAAAATGAATGATACTAAGTGTTATAAGTGAAAGAAGCATGATCTTTCTATATATAATATGAGTTTATATTTGTAATTTAATATGACACAACAAACTTTTTTACATACATAATATTTTGTGGGATTTACACTTTTTGAAAAAAAAATACAACACACAAAACGAATCTCTATAACATTACATAATCACTTTTCCTACAACATAGAGTGACAATATTATATGTTTTTATCTCCACAGTTGCATAATATATTACTTTTTAATCACATCCTCCTAAAGGTAACTGAAATACATACAAATAAAAAATAATATTAACTAAATGTATAAAAATAAAAAATAATTGGCACATTTCATTATCTCTTCTGATTAAGGAGGTATAAAAATTTGTGAATCAATGTTAAAAGTGGATATCGTGAATCAACGATCATAACAAGCTGGTAAAAAAGTGAGATAGAATAAGATCACCATCTTCAATATTTTATACACTTTGAGACGATACACAGCAAATGTCAAATAAATAATTATTGCATTATAAATATTTTTTTATAAATATAAAAACATAACCAATGAAAACAATATTGATTATCCAAATGCTTTCATAATAAGAAGAAAATAATGTATTAATAGAAAAAAAATAATTAATTATAGAATATATTAATAAGAAGAAAAGAATTAATTATAGAATGTATTAATAGAAATAAAATAATTAATGCACATATGTTGAGGGATAAAAAGTTGGCTATTATACATAGTCCAACCATAGCTTTTTTCTTTTTTCTTTTTTTAAGTTGAAAAATCAAATTACTTTTAGGATATTTTTTCGGTTTTCAGCTCATGATATAAGTCCAGTTTGCTTAAGACTTTTTTTCTTTCTTTTGTTTGAATAAGAAGCAAACTTTAAAAAAGAGGATCGGTTTTTTGAAAAAAGTTTAAAAATTAAATGGGTCAACCTAGTTTCATTTAACCAACCGAATAACTGAAATTTTACAGGATTAATCGGTCTAAATCGAGTGAAGTGCATAGCTAACTAAATAACCACCCGAATAACTGCCTTCCCCGAATTACTAAGACACGGAGTTAATCTGAGTTTTAAAACACCGTTTTAGACACACAAAAAGATGATAAAAATTAATGTTGTCCAGATCTGAATTCTGAACTTGGAATGATGAATCAACGGTGATATCTATAATACAAAAAAAACTTCAATGGGCTCTTGGTTATTAAATAGGAATCCACCCCCCCCCCCCCCCCCCCCCCCCTATTCATATTAAAGGATCACCGAATTTTTACGGTGTATTGAAGTTTTTCTTCCATACTAGTTGCGTTCATGAGCTAATTGGCTGGCATCTCCACGTGGCATCCTTTGATTTGTCATTCAGTTGCAAAAGAAGCGCGTGGCCAGGGTCGTTGGGAGCAGCTGCAGCACATTTTTTTTTTTTGCCGCGTTATTCAGAAATTGATGTTATTAAATTATTACCGAATCAAGTGGAATTAGTTAAAATTACTTAATGCATTACTATAAAATTGAAAAATACCGATTTTAATTTAATCTGCATATAATAATTGTCGATTATATACCTAGTCTCTAAAATTTGTCCACGTGTTTATCCCTTGAATTTCACTTCACGCGCCCATTTTATTTTTTAAGTCCAAATAAATAATAAAAAAATATTTCTCGGACATAAAATTATTTTCAGAAAGTACAAAAATAACATCATTTTAGATTATAATATTAAAAAATTATAATAATAAAAATTAATATAACTCTGTAATAAATTAAAATTATAAAAATATCTTAATTTTTGTCATAAAACGATATTATTTTGTACTCACCGAAAATAATTTATCTCTATTAACTGAAAAAATACTTTAGTCATAAATAATATGATTATTACAAATAAAGCGGGGCGGATATTTCTATTCAAATATGTTGTATCTTTAAGAAATGCACGACGTGTTTCTTTGTGTATCATTTGAGATTCCGATCAGGTGACATGAACTTCATCGCTATTTCGTGTGTGGCTTGAGTTTCTCTTCACGTTCCTCTCTTCGGCTTTGGATTTCATTGTAGATTTTGAGTGAATAAATTTAAATAATCAATTCAAGTACGTGATTGAGTTTAGAGTTTAACCAGTTACTGAATTATGCTCTTTTTAATTCAGCTTTGACTCTGATTTTTCGTATGTGACGGTGCGTGTGCTGGTTACAAAATCAAGAATCCGCGTATGGGACCGTGATCTATGTTGATTTTTTAAAAAAAAAATAAATAAATAAAAAATACTGCTGACTTACTAAGAAAAATGATTAATGTGAATAATAAAAACCACAATTATTCATCTAATTGATAATTATTAGGTTGATTGTCCTTTAGGGGGCAAAGCGAAATAGACATTATTATTGAAATGGGTTGCAAATTAGACAAACAGATTTAGACAATATCATAACTTTCACAATGGAGGGGCCCTATAAATAAACAAAAATTACAATGTGATAGGAAAGACAAAGGGATGCCTCTTTCCATATGACTACTTTCTGTAGTTACAGGGGGAAAAAAAATATAGATGTGGATTTAATATTTTTAGTGTCACAACTCACAAGATAAAATTATTTTTTATTATTTTAAAATGATATTGTTTTGAAATCAGGAAAAAATAATAATAATAAAAATTAGTATAATCTCAAAATAAATTAATATTATAAAAATACATTTCTTTCAACCCTCAAAACCATAACGTTTTGAAATTACCATCTTAATTCTCTGCCCTCCGCGCCTTGGTTTTTTTGTTGGATCACATCATTACAGTCACAATCAAGATATTTTATAGGCAGTTAGGAGGCGTTTGGTACAGGAAATTTTTTTATTTGTCCGGGAATCTCAATTTTTAAAAATATAATTTTTACATTCAGTTTACGATAATATCTGAAAATTTAATATTTTAAAAAAATTCAGTTTCTCAGAAATCTGGCCAAATGTCGTGTACCAAACGCCCCCTTAAACCTTTTCATTTTTTTGGTATTTACTTTAATAATAGTGCTTAATAGAAGTCACTTGGCAATGAATCGCCGATGTACATTGCGTAGGATCAATTATGATATTACTTGATTGCTTGTTGCCCTGGCTGTTAGGCATACGCATACACACAAAAACAGATAAGCTCTAATATAGTAAGGGAAGAAAATAATGGTTGTCCACTTTCCTTACCAGTTACCAAGGTACCTTGGTAGGTGATAAAATTATTTTGCACAGACACTCTTCTATATTGAATGTGAGGCTGTGGTGTTTAAGTTTTTTTTTTTTTTTCTTAAAAAACAAAAACAAAAAACAACTTTTATACATATTGATAATAAAAAAATACTTATTGAAAAATATAAATTTAATTTGAATTTATCATTAATATAACTGAATTTTGTACCATCATTTAATTATGTATGGAGATATTATTAAATAATATGACAATTACAATTTTGCTATCGATCAATCAAATTTGTGTTGACAGTATTTTGGAAACTTGTTATAGATTTCATTCAATTTAGCGTAAGCTTTTAATTTGAAAAGTTTTCAAATAAAATTTAAAGGTTTATGAAATTCAACGGTAATGGTATTTTTCTTATTTAATTAATTTCTCGCACTTCTGTGAAATTAATGGGAGTGGATCCCTGCTAATTCACATGATCATGTCATGTGGGACAATCATAATCATATATTGGTGAGTTAATGGTAATAGAGGAGGAGAGAGAAAAAATATAAAGATAAGAAGTTACACAATCATTACCGTTAATTTAATTATTAATGGTTAAGATCCTCCCACATGACATGATCATGTTAAATTACACATGAGAGAATCCATTTCCGAAATTTAATCACAAAAATATCGGTTAACATTGATTATAAGCGTTGATAATAAAATATTAAACACGATCTTCCGTGTATGACAAAGTGGCCTCTTAGTTTTTTATTAGTATTAATTTTTAAAAAAAAAATAAGTTATATATATTCAGGTTATTATTGCTCAAATACTTTTATAATTTCCTAATTCTTTCTTTAAAACTGCGAATTGATACTGTACTATGAATAAACCTACGATTGTTTAGCGAACCTTTTAAGATGTGTGATTTAAGCTGATAATTATCCTCGATCAATTTTAGAACCGTGACAATTTTTATAATAAAGTGTTTATTGATGTTGTTAGTGTGTAAATAGACTTAGTCAAGTTAAACTTTGATAAAAAAAGAGAGAGAGAGAGGGTAAAATCAAGAGAATAAGAAGAATTTGGACACGAGGGTCTAGGTTTTGAGAGAAACCCTACACCCCCAAGCCTTCAAAGAGAATAAATGATAGTGAGCATGAGTAATTTTCAAAATGTGTGTATTGAATGAAGAAAATCCAAAACCTTTCTCAGTCCAATACCCTCAGCCAATAAACAAAAAATGCAGCATTTTATTGGAATGGTAGGATCATATTTATATTTATTTTTACGACAACTTTATGTTATTTTATAAATTACATTAAGTGTATTACAAATCTTATCAAATAACAAATTTTTACTACATATTACAAAGTTATTTTTGAAACTAAATGAACTAAAAGAAATTTTGTAGAAACTTTCATACACCTTAATTACATAATTTAAATTAAATATGCGATTTGATAGACCCCTAAACCCAACTCTTGAAAACAAATTTTTTAGACCTAATTTATCTATAACTTTTCCCGTTTTTGACACATTATAGTTTCTTTATATTTTTTAATTAATCAAAACT